AGATGCGATGAGATCAGATGACCTGAAACAAGGGTCAACCCATGAAAAAAGATGGCAAAGATCCAACATTCAAAAGACATGGCACCGGAATGACAAGTCAAGAGATTGTTGCTGTGAAGCACAGAAGGCTTCGCTGTCACCTATAGGCACACTCTTTGCTCCGCTCTATAGGCTATAAGCGTTTCAAATTGGAAACTTCCGCCCCCGGCTTGTCCGGGTACTACTTGTATTCATGTATATAAAGCCAGCAAACCAGGGTGAGAAGGACGTCGGACAGTTCAGCTCGTCTGAGCAAGAGGGAGAGAGAGAGAGAGGGTGAGGGGGAGAACAGAATGTGCAAAATTAAAATATGGTTCAACCACTTGAACCCCCAAAGTTGCTTCGAGTCTTTCGCAGCTGTTTTCTTGATGACAGGTTATCAAGTTGTAAACACATTCTGCTTGGCAGCTGAAATGCCCTGGAAGAATCCGACAAGTTGTCCTTCCCAAGTAGGATGGAACATTCTTCGGACTGCCATACCCCCACCTCCAGCACCACAATAACACCATTCAGGTCCACCACGGCCACAGGGGAAGAAAATGTGGCCTAACGAGCAGCGGCCATGAACCAAATGCGAGAAAAACTCCTGGGATTCCAAGGGATCTGCACCAATTTGGGATTATCCACTACTAACCACTACTAACCACTACTTGTTTAAACATATTCAAAACCACTAACCACTACTCAAGACGTGTTCGGGATCATCATCCAGTGGGGCAAAATCAAGGAGTGGTGCAGAAAAGGATTGATTCAAGGGATAGACAGGAAACTATCGGTGTTTACTTTCCAAATCCCGATACTCCCGGGCCTCCGGGGGTTCCTGTGAAATGTCTTCGTTACTGAATCAATTCTGCAGAGTCCATCAGAGTCCATCAAATCCAACAGAACTTATGAGCTCTGTGGCCCCCAGCTGACAGCTGATCACCATCCTTTTGTCCTGTCGGGTTCGAAGACAGCAGGGGGGAGAAAAAACGTTTTCCTTTCACTGTCAGCATGGAAGTCGCAACTCTGTGATTAGTTTTTTTAATCATAAGGTCATTTTTGGATGATTCCCCCTAAACTATGTGGCTATGAGTCAAAACCCTGGCACCCGGATGGTACCTTAAAATAGCTGGTTAGTGGATGTTTAATCCCCCAGTCATATGGTAATTTCATAGGTTTTGACAGCGGCGAACCAGGCCTTTGGCTCCAGTACCAGCCACCGTCTCGATTTGCGTCAGCTGAAAATTGATGCGGCCTTGGTGTCGGTCTCCACCACGGAACAGCATGGCTTTGAATTGCGAAAATTGCATCAGAACTGGATTGGAAAAGGATCAATAATTGCATAATTTTCCAGTTCAAGCCATGCATAAATGGATGAAGATTGGAAAAGGATCAAGAATTGAATAAATTATCCACCACCAGGAAGCAACCACTACAACATGGATCATCTAATCCTGCACTGCCAGGAAGTTTTGAAATCCTGAATCGCCAGAAAGTCACATGACACCAAGACCTCCAAATAGCAGGAAACTCAAGAGATCGTCAGCAAAAAAACAAAAACCAGATTCTGAAGTTCTGTCCCAACTTATCACGCTTATAAAACCATGGTTATACCCACTAATCATCCCAACTGCACCCCCAAAATCCAGCCCAAATCGTTCAGCCAAGTTTTTCGAGCCGCGAATTCGATGGTTAGATGTGTCGGCCACCAAAATGCTGCCATCCATGCCTTGGAGGTACCCTCGATGGCATGTATCTCATATATCTATGGTAATCCCCACATTTTATGGGGTAAACCAACAAAATTTGGGTAAAGTTGTGAGCCCCATCCACCAAGCATTGGTCATTCTTGGAAGTCCAAACCACTCCACAAAGTGCCTATGACTTGACCCATATCAGTTCACTTCAAAGGGACACACGCTGATTATGGCAATTCCCAAACTTGAAATAAACCCATTTCGCGGTACTTCCCTGAGCATCATGGCCAGGTCAGCCAGTTGGAATCAGGAATCATCCGTTGAAAGATCAATTGGTTTTTGAAAACGGTGACTTTTCTTTGTTGGCAATGGGAATATCCCCCCTCTTAGCTTTGATTCAAAAAAGAAATAGCCACTAAATTGATCTAAATTGGATGATTAAACGCTTAAAACTAAAACTGGTCAATGTTCCATTGTGACCGCATCCCGATTGCTGCCGATGAATTTATTCCCAGCAGCCATTGGCCAATGCCACCGCGCGCTCTCCCAGCTGCGCCGAAGCCAGCCGACCATCCGAAAATCCGGAGTCGCCCTGGCACGTCCAGGGATCACTGGAGGTCCCCGGTCACGGGTCACCAGTGTCACCGGTCCCATAGCAGCGCCTGCATCAGCCATTGTGGCTGCAAGTGAGTGGCAGTGACATCCAGCATGACCAAACCACCTGCGTCGGGCCGTGGAAAGTGTCGTTACAACTGAAAGTCAAGTTGAAAAAGTCACTTGATCAAAATCATTCAGTTCGACTCATCAGCAAAATCGAGTTTCAGTTCTGGGGACCGCAAGGTCGCTTCAGAAACGTTTCGAATCGGGCGTCTTCCAGACTTCGCGTGGCAAACGCGTTGGACCGCACCCAACGTGGCTAATTTTGCATACGCAAAAAAATGATAATTTTGAGCTGGGATCTGATCTTGCAGCAAGATTCGGGCTGTGGTTTGGCAACGTAGAAAATCTTCAGGGGGTTATTTGGGGCACTTTGAGGCTGTATGTTGGCAACCTAGTTGTGGGGCCTGTTGCAGGTGTTGCAGGGCCTCTTGGAGGGAGAGCTAGGTATACATATGCCCATAATTACAACTGAAGTGACCCCGGCACCCAGAATAGTTTTGATATTTGTACTGACATGGAATCGGACACATCTATAATAATGGCATGTGTCGGTCTGACACACTTAAATGATAACATATTTACGATGATAAAAGATGATTCTGACACTTAATCTGACATCTATTCAGACAACTATTTACTGACATGTGTACTGAAAGGTATTGTGACATATTGACTGACAAAATGACTTGCCTGTATTCTGGCAAATTGATTATTTGACATTTGTACATACTCAATAACTGACACTTGTACTGACATATTGTCTGACATGTCCATTGACATATCAATATCTAATGACATATATTTTGCCCTATTGCCTGACACATTTTAGTGATATAAAGTCGAACGTGTGTTTTGACAAATTTACGTGTGCTCAGCTAACACATAATATACAGATTATTGACACAATCTGACAAGATATGTACTGATATAAAATCTTAAAAACACATGGACTCTATTGACACAATCTGACACATATATTAACTGACAGGACAAGAGAAAAACTGACAAAGTAGAGCAAGGGGACAAACGAAGGGGCCACAAGGAAAGTTGGGATGAAATGGGTATACGGTATAAGTCAAAAGTGGCTACCCCAAAAATTGGATGGCTAATACTAAACATATTCTAAAAATTCTGGTCCCAAAGGGCTTAAATTTTGATCCAAAAATCTAGGTGGGAAACTACCCAAGCTATCGGTACCCCTGCTTTGTCGTTCATGCCTGTCAATGAGATCACCACCAAACTTGGGCCAGCACGCCTCAAATTTCGGGGTTCTGCTGATTCGATCACAGAAATCGCACCCAAGCCGGGCCAAAACCGTTTTGGGTTTGGCTCAAAATGGGGAGAAATCCTGTTGAAAAATTGGGATTACGGGTGATTTGACCATCAAAAATTAATAAATTGAATTGGAACCAATAGGGATTGTTCAAAAATGTGGAGTGGGCTCCAGTCAAAACCAATTTGGACACCCGTGCACCCGCAAACGATTTCAAACAATCAAAACTAAGGCCAATGAAACCCGTGCACACCCTTTGCCCTGAGCTTAGGACGCCATGCTCTGCACGCTGCTTCCCACTTCCGTCAGTCTCAGATGTGGAAAATCGGTGAATCATCCGCACCAGAAATGTACTGTCAGACCTTGGTAACCTGGACATCCACGACCATCTTACCATGGATTCCATAAACAACGCTTTGCTAAGAACTCATCTTCTCCATCATGAACCATTGCGCATCCTCTTTCTGTTCTCGTCATCACCAAGAATAATACACCAGAAATCTTGAACAAAGATACGCTGTCTTGCACTTCAATTTTCATCTGCCATGTTTTTTTCCCCGTTCTTTCCAACATTCACAGCCATGCTGGAAGTGTTTCGGACAAGGCACTGGCAACTGACAGTTTGCACCGCTGCCAACAGAGCTGACTTTGTTGGGGCCTTGTTGAAGAATGCGGCAATTTCGCTGGGGTTCACCCAAAAAATAGGGAAATTGAGTGAAATCCATGGTATTTATAGAATTTACGAAGAAAACATCTTGGTTTTGAGCCATTTCATTAAAGTGTGAAATTGAGTAACATCCACCGGTTTGGTTTTCGCGTCGCATCCTAAAAATATGCCGATGAGGGATATTCCGCAGGACCACCTTGTCATCTGCACAGTGAAGTTGGCCTTTCTACTGACACGCTATGCCAAAAGCGCGACATGCTAGGACCGGTGCTTTGCAATGGAGTCGGAATGTGAAGTATACGAAATATATCGAAATATCAATAATGATTCTTAACAGTTGATCACTAGTAATGATATGTAATATTATATGTAATAACCATTAGTAACTCTTAGCAGTACTGACTTAGCAGTAACCATTAGTACTCCAAAAATGTTACGATTCCCGGGCCACAACACCAAAGCCAAGAATGGCAGCGCACGGCCTCGTCTCCCCCAGCTAAATTCCTCGACTGGGCCAGGTACTCCTCAGCCAACAAGGTGGCAACGCAGCCTACAAATCCACTTTCACAGTTCCTCATGGCTATGGCCATGTAGCCTATGTTCCGGCCAAAAAATGCTTGCTGTACATCCACATAGACATAGGTAGAGACATTTCAATTCTCACCCAGCACCGCCATACCAATCACCGCTCCTTCTGTCGCTCGTCCTCCTTCCCAAGCCATGCCATGGCCTCTTGAGCATTGGCACGCCATTCCTGGGGCTTCACCGGACTGGACCGGCGTTTTTTTTAATGGCTTCCGCTACACTCCCCATACAGATAGATCATACAGGGATTCTTCTGGGAACCGCGCAAATCAAGCAGGGCATATACCCACAACAGACGTGGGATCCAGCCTCCACTTTGGGCGTAAAGCCCTTCAGTGTGATCTCAACGTCTTTCAAGATTCCCTCAGCACTGCCAAATGTATGCAGCAGGTGGTGCTAGGGGACCGTGGCATTTGGCAAGATCTTAAGACCGACCCAGCTGTTTTGGTCTAGCTTGCAAGGGCTGTTGCTAATGTCTTGGGGGGGCCATAAGACATGTCTGCTGCCAACAATACAGCTTCAAACTCCCTCTAACAAGCCCAACAACGCCTCTGCAACAAGCCCCTGCAATACCTGTAGTTTGCCAACATACCGCCCCAACCCAATTCCAACAGGCGCTACAACACCTGTAGGTTGCCAACATACAGCACCTACAGGTGTTGGGGGGCCCGTTCGAAGAGGTTTGGGGCTGTATGTTGGCAACCTAGAGGTGTTGCGCAGCACAGCCACAAACTCCCCCAAACCGTCTCCATAAGTCATGTTGTGAACATACAGCCCCAAGCTCTCTTCAGGGCCCTACACCCAGGGCCCCACAAGATCTGTAGGTTGCCAACATACACCCCCAAACTGGCCCCACCAAACCCCATAAGATCTGTAGGCCCACAGCCCCAATCTTGCTCCAACATGCCCAACAATCCCTCAAAAAGGGGCTCCCATGAGCTGTATTCCCCAGACCATTTCATGAATCCAGTTGAGGTGAAACTCACAGCTGAAAAAAAAATGAGTTCTGTCTGAGAATGGGCAATAAAGGGCCAACCATAAGGAATGTGATGATTAGCCAATGGATATACCATATACCCCATTGTGAACAAACCCACGTCAACCTCTACTTTGCAGCTACGCCACCGTTTGGAGCTCATCGCTCAGGGGCAACATCGCCTGTCGACTCAATTCTGATACCCATGATTTTCCCTTGGATGTGACCATCATCTGGTGTAGTATGATTGAAAATCGTGCGTCTTCAGGAAAAAGATGCTGCACACGCGGAAAAAATGATGTGTTCATCTGTGGTTTCCTATGGTTCCCGAATGTGTTCCATCAGTTCCATACATCTTCAAGTTTGATCCACGCACTTCCCCATGGGAGCTAATGGCTTGTGGCCCCTTGGCACCCTCACCTTAATCATCTCCAAATTCTCCTGGCAACTGCGCTGAAGCTCATCCCCATGTAGTGCCAGGCGCCCTGCAACTTGCCTCAGTGCATCGTTGTCACGTGCCACCTGTAGCTTTGGATTCCTCGATTCCTCCCCCAAGACAAGCGAAGAAATCGAATCATCTAAAGGCCATCCAAAAGCCACTGATAGATCTACAATCTACAGTAACCCCAAATCCATCCAAATCCAAACCCGCCCAAAAAACAAAAAACCTCCACCAAAATCGCATCAAAATCATCCGCCTCAGGCTCTGTGCCGCCTCCATCCAACTCACCTGCATCGCTGAGGCGGTCCGCTGCAGGAGCGGCGGACCGGCACCCAACGCAGCAGGGAACGCCCCGCTGGGACGCACGGGTGAGGCGTCGGAGACGAGCACAACGTCGCCGGCCTCAGTGAGTTTCATCCTAAGCTGTTTCAAGGAGAAAAAAAATGGAAAAAACTGAAGATGTTGAAAGAATTATTAACCGGATCCATGCAATTGATTGAAATCATTGGGTCAAACAAAGAGTCTTCTGGATCAATGTGTATGTGTATGTGCATCTTCAGCCCAGTGGGCCAATGTAGGCTATGTGAACAAGCATAGCAGCCGAAAATCTTCACTCTCAACAGGTAATTTAACAGTGCATGTCTGGCCTGCTTTTACCCGTGTATTGTAATTTACATCATCACAGGAAGCTATTAAATGGGTGATTTTCCATCGCCAGCTCAAATCACCAGAGGCTATATCCTCTGCATAATAGCTGATTTACCCACCAAAACCTCAATTTACAGGGGAATTCCCCGCCACGTTTTGATTACTGGAGGGTATATCCAGCCATGGCGGCAACGTGACCCTGGCCGTGAAGGCGTGCCTTCTTGCCACCGAGGGCGGGCCACTTCAAGCTTTGCATCGCTTCGTAGCAGAACTGGAGCAGCGACAGAAGGAGATGACCACGGTATCTGGGCACCACACTCCTTGGGTCTGAAACAAGGACCACTAAGGAAACGGACCCCTGTATGCCCAAAATGGAACCATGTCCACTTTTGCGGTTGCTTCAAATAGAGTAACCTTTCAAAAACCCTGCAAAGGGAACAGAATATGCAAGATGGAATGCAGTTGCACCTCGTTGGTATGAACTGATTTTCTTCATCTTTCCCATCTTCATCATCGTCATCATCATAATCACCATCTTCATCATCCACCCTTCCCCAACCGCATTTTCTCTCCAAGCATCTGTGCCTCCGCCACCGCGAGGCACTTGGCCAAAGCCATGCTTTGGTCGAAGAATCCCAAGCGTTCGACCGGCGACAGCGGCAAGCGCTCCTCATCTGCAAGCCACCTCGGAGAAAAACCCCTTCAACGTGTGCCCCGTGGAGAAACAACCTCAACATGGGACATCCTAGAAAGATGGAGAAAACGTCAGATAGAAATGGTGAGTAACTGGCTTATGGTCAAGGATATTCTGGTTGCAAGGGATGAAACCATCCAATTATTAAGCAATTACCCATTGCCACTTCGCAGGATCATCCCAGTGTGAGGGTTGAAAGCAGGAACTAAGTTCAAAAGCTGCCTCTATGTTAGAGTAAAACAAGCGCTTCAACAAGACATGAAGCGCTTGCAAGTTTCACAAAGTCCATACCTTACATTCCATCAAATTGTCTATAAGTCTTTTGCAGGTGCTCATAAAGACCCACAGAAAAAAGGGATGGCTCCAGCTCACCTGGCAGCTCCTGCATCGCCAAGGCACCAGTTCTGCAGCCCAGGCATCAAATCCATAGATCCTTGCGGAAGTTTGCTCAGATCGGCAGTGGGTCAAGCACAAAATCGTTTCTGTGGTTTCCAGCTAGTTGGCATGTCACCGGATGAATGAACTCTGGCTGACTACTTGGGGTTCCCCAAAACAGTGGATAATTTGCGTACAAGCGGTCAAAACATGCCGGACTTTGTTGATACGGGGTGGACATTCAACATCTTAATCCGCAATGCACGGAGAAACGTTGAAGGCTATTCCAATCAAGACCCGGTCGCAGAGCTTCCCATAATGGCAGAAGATTACTGAACCGCAGAATCAAACCGTCTCAACAACTGCTACTCCAAGTCATGTTACGAAGTATGGACGCGGCGAAAAAAAGCCAAGTCTCGGTCATCTGCAGCAGCTGCTAACTTGGTTGGGGTCTCCTAGGTTTTAACATGGTTTAACAGTGTGGTGATCCACAGCTGTGAAACCTTGGATGTTGGGCTTTGCTCCATGCTTTTGCAACGCATTGTGACTCAGAGTTGGAATCCGTAATGCTTCGCAAATGCCAGATTGACACAAGTTGAGCTGTGCTTTGACTTCAAAGTGACGACTTCCAAGTGAAAATCACACTGCGGTAGAGTTGACCGAGTTGACCGAGTTGACCAGCTCAAGATCCCACGTGAAAAGCCCATTCCGAGCCTTGCCCGCTGGTGGCGGCACCGCTGGAAAGCGCACCTGAAATGATTGCGGTCGGCGACTTACTTGTACACACAGATTTCGACTCGGTTGTACACACAACCTTGGGGGGTGGGGTGGGGCTAGGCATCATCGTCGTCGTCGTCGTCGTCGTCGTCATCATCATCATCATCATCATCATCATCATCCGCGTGCACAACTGAGTTGTTTTTCGCGTGCACAACCGAGGCACCGTCATGATCTCATTCATGGGCCGATGGGCCGAAAGAGACATGATATCCCAAATCACATCACGGCCATGAGGGTTGATGGTAGGGATCCCGAAAAGACACAGAGGTTGAGCCTAACTATTTTCATGGTGATCAGCTTACTTTCTATCTGTTTGCCGTACTGCGGCTTCCAGTTTTGATGGACGAGCAGTCTACGTTGACCAAAATTAGTGAGTTGCATGGCTGCGGGTTCAAATTTGAGACCCTGGAACCGCAAATGTTGGTCATGTTTACCAACCATCCCTTTTGGGTACAATTAATAGCTAACCTTAGACGCCTTGCAAGACCGTTTCTTTTGGCTTAGTATCCATAAGATTTCCTCATGTACAGCAAAATTAAAACCATAGCAACCCCAAAATCGATCGAAAAGTTGGAAATCTGGGAAATTATGATGTAACAACAATCATCTATGATCACTCTAAGCTCCTCCCCATAGCCTCCAGATCCACCCGCAACTCGCAGCCCATGGCACCAGCAACTTCTCCAAAAGCTCCCAGCAGCGGACAGGTGGACACTTCATGGGGCCCTCCAGCAGGATCGCCTCATCGGAGATTACTGAGACTTGATGAGAAAAAATGTGGGTTCCATAGTCATGCGGGTGTACCCCAATAGCTGGATCTATAAGTGTATGGCCGCAACAAGAGTTCTTCAGAAAATGGTGACCAAAAACATAACCTATCTAGATGTACAGAAGGAGCAAAAGCTGTGCCATGCAAAGTGAAACCGAACTGACAACGGCACCCAAGTAGGTGTCAACGCCGCACCAAGAGACAGGCCAAAAATAGCCAGCTGCATGGCTCCGACATGTGTAAATGGTGCAACAAACGTGCCAACCCACAATGAAGGGTGCCAAAAGAAGAGAGCTGGCTGGAAGGTTTACAATTGAAAATCCCAATCTCAAATGAATGATTTGGGGGTACCATTTTAGGAAACCCCCATATGAAAATTGGAACGTTTCATGACATGTCCAAAACTGGGATGTTTCCCCATGGTCGCGAAACTACACACCATTGACGCATCAAACGAAAGCCAAACGAAACCCCGGCTCACACCGCACCTGGCCGATGCACACGACACCAGCCAGAGCACCAAAGCTACCACCCTCCCAGGCTGTGATCCAAGGCTCCAGTGAAATTCTCCAAATGTCCCATTTTGGAGCTGGCTCATCACAGATCAGGGGCAGTAAATAACCCATGTAATGGGATTTGAAGTTTGAACCTTTTCATGGGGCAACTATGGAAAATAACCCAATCAGTACTCGGATCGTCACATGAGTTTAATCCCCCCATTCAAAGGGTAAAACGGGAAAACAATAGGCAACTGGACCCCATATCCTACTTTTTATGCAGCATTGAAGAGCCGGATATAAGAATTTGGTCAGCCGTATCAGCATGAAATCATGGATGAAATCATGGGTATGTCGCACCTCGGGCACCACTTCGGAGAGCCTCAAAGCCATAGAGCCACCTGGATCCAAGGTCGATGACTTCAAAAGATGGCCACAATTCGCAGGCTTTTAAGGATCATCTGCAACACTCTGAAAACTATCTATTTTGGGTTTACGAAGTCAATAAACTAGAAATCGGATGGAAAGTTGACCCAAGGATGGATTGACCATCAATTTACGGTGGATTAGCTGTTCGACACCATCAACAATCTTTGGGTCCCACCTTGGAGGCTTGGAGCTACCATGGATGCCAAGCTCAGGTGAAGGAAGCAAGCTTCATACACTGAGCGCCTGGGCCACTGGCCAGAAAAATGGCCGACACGGAAAAAAAAACAATTCACCATGGTTGGCGCGTGGGGCTGTATGTTGGCAACCTACAGGTCTTATGGGGCATGTTGGAGCGGGTTTGGGGCTGTATGTTGGAGCGGGTTTGGGGCTGTATGTTGGCAACTTACAGGTCTTATGGGGCATGTTGGAGCGGGTTTGGGGCTGTATGTTGGCAACTTACAGGTCTTATGGGGCATGTTGGAGCGGGTTTGGGGCTGTATGTTGGAGCGGGTTTGGGGCTGTATGTTGGCAACTTACAGGTCTTATGGGGCATGTTGGACCGGGTTTGGGGCTGTATGTTGGCAACCTACAGGTCTTATGGGGCATGTTGGAGCGGGTTTGGGGCTGTATGTTGGAGCGGGTTGGGGCTGTATGTTGGCAACTTACAGGTCTTATGGGGCATGTTGGAGCGGGTTTGGGGCTGTATGTTAGCGGGTTTGGGGCTGTATGTTGGCAACCTACAGGTCTTATGGGGCATGTTGGAGCGGGTTTGGGGTTGGCAACTTACAGGTCTTATGGGGCATGTTGGAGCGGGTTTGGGGCTGTATGTTGGAGCGGGTTTGGGGCTGTATGTTGGCAACTTACAGGTCTTATGGGGCATGTTGGAGCGGGTTTGGGGCTGTATGTTGGAGCGGGTTTGGGGCTGTATGTTGGCAACCTACAGGTCTTATGGGGCATGTTGGAGCGGGTTTGGGGCTGTATGTTGGAGCGGGTTTGGGGCTGTATGTTGGCAACTTACAGGTCTTATGGGGCATGTTGGAGCGGGTTTGGGGCTGTATGTTGGAGCGGGGTTGGGGCTGTATGTTGGCAACTTACAGGTCTTATGGGGCATGTTGGAGCGGGTTTGGGGCTGTATGTTGGAGCGGGTTTGGGGCTGTATGTTGGCAACTTACAGGTCTTATGGGGCATGTTGGAGCGGGTTTGGGGCTGTTGTTGGAGGGGTTTTGGGGCTGTATGTGCAACTTAAAGGTCTGTATGGGGCATGTTGTGGAGGCGGGTTTTGGGGCTGATGTTGGAGCGGTGTTTGGGGATGTATGTTGGCAACATTAAAGGTCTTATGGGGCATGTTGGCGCGGGTTTGGGGCTGTATGTTGGAGCGGGTTTGGGGCTGTATGTTGGAGCGGGTTTGGGGCTGTATGTTGGCAACTTACAGGTCTTATGGGGTATGTTGGAGCGGGTTTGGGGCTGTATGTTGGAGCGGGTTTGGGGCTGTATGTTGGCAACTTACAGGTCTTATGGGGCATGTTGGAGCGGGTTTGGGGCTGTATGTTGGAGCGGGTTTGGGGCTGTATGTTGGCAACCTACAGGTCTTATGGGGCATGTTGGAGCGGGTTTGGGGCTGTATGTTGGAGCGGGTTTGGGGCTGTATGTTGGCAACCTACAGGTCTTATGGGGCATGTTGGAGCGGGTTTGGGGCTGTATGTTGGAGCGGGTTTGGGGCTGTATGTTGGCAACTTACAGGTCTTATGGGGCATGTTGGAGCGGGTTTGGGGCTGTATGTTGGAGCGGGTTTGGGGCTGTATGTTGGCAACTTACAGGTCTTATGGGGCATGTTGGAGCGGGTTTGGGGCTGTATGTTGGAGCGGGTTTGGGGCTGTATGTTGGCAACCTACAGGTCTTATGGGGCATGTTGGAGCGGGTTTGGGGCTGTATGTTGGAGCGGGTTTGGGGCTGTATGTTGGCACTACAGGTCTTATGGAGGCATGTTGGAGCGGGTTTGGGGATGTAGTTGGAGCGGGTTTGGGGCCTGTATGTTGGCAACCTCAGGCACTTATGGGGCAGTTGGAGCGGGTTTGGGGCTTGTATGTTGGAGCGGGTATTGGGGCTGTATGTTGGCAACTTAAAGGTTCTTATGGGGCAGTTGGAGCGGGTTTGGGGCTGGTGTATGTTGGAGGGGTTTGGTTGGGGCTGTATGTTGGAACTTACAGGTCTTATGGAGCATTTATGGCGGTTGGGGGCTGAGTGGAGCGGGTTTGGGCTGTATGTTGGCAAACTTACAGGTCTTATGGGGATGTTGGAGCGGGTTTGGGGCTGTATGTTGGCAACTTACAGGTCTTATGGGGCATGTTGGAGCGGGTTTGGGGCTGTATGTTGGAGCGGGTTTGGGGCTGTATGTTGGCAACCTACAGGTCTTATGGGGCATGTTGGAGCGGGTTTGGGGCTGTATGTTGGAGCGGGTTTGGGGCTGTATGTTGGCAACCTACAGGTCTTATGGGGCATGTTGGAGCGGGTTTGGGGCTGTATGTTGGAGCGGGTTTGGGGCTGTATGTTGGCAACTTACAGGTCTTATGGGGCATGTTGGAGCGAGTTTGGGGCTGTAGGTTGGCAACCTGCAGGTCTTATGGGGCATGTTGGAGCGGGTTTGGGGCTGGCTTGGGGCTGTAGGTTGCCTGGTGAGCGAGTGCGGGGCTGTATATTGGCAACCTACAGGTCTTATGGGGAATGTTGGAGCGGGTTTGGGGCTGTATGTTGGAGCGGGTTTGGGGCTGTATGTTGGCCACCTACAGGTCTTATAGGGCATGTTGGGGCAGGTTTGGGGCTGTAGGTTGGCAACCTACAAGTCTTATGGGGCTGTTGGAGCGGGTTTTGTGGCTGTATGTTGGCAAGTCTTGTGGGGCACGTTGGAGCGAGTTTGGGGCTGTATGCTGGCAACCTACATGCCCCATGGGGCATATTGATGTTGGGAGGTTTGAAGCTGTATGTTGGCATTATGGGGGCGTGTTGGGGTTGCTTTGTGGCTGTATGTCGGCATGGCGAGTGTTGTCTTATGAAGCGTGTTGGAAGAGTTTTGGGGGGTGTATGAGGTGTGTTGGAAGGAGTTTGGGGCTGTATGTTGGCAACCTACAGGTCCTGTGGGGCGTGTTGGAACGGGTTTGGGGCTGCATGCTGGCACCGTACAAGTCTTATGGGGGGTGTTGGAGCGGGTTTGGGGTTGTATTTTGGCAGCCTGCACGTCTTATGGGGCATGTTGGAGCTGGTGTGGGCTGTATGTTGGCAACCTACAGGTCTTATGGGGCGTGTTGGAACGGCTTTGGCTGTATGTTGGCAACCTACAGGTCTTATGGGGCGTGTTGGAACGGCTTTGGCTGTATGTTGGCAACCTACAGGTCCTATGGGGCGTGTTTGAACGGGTTTGGGGCTGTACCTATGGGGCTTGTTGGAACGGGGCCGTGTTGCAACGGCTTTTGGACTGTATGTTGGCAACCTACGGGTCTCCACGCGGCATGTTGGAACGGATTTGGGGCTGTAGGTTGGCAACCTACAGGTCCTATTTGCGTGTTGGGACGGGTTTGGGGCTGCGTGTTGGCAACCTACAGGTCTCATGGTGAGTTTGGGATTGTGTGTTGGCAAACTACGGGTCTAATTCGGCGTGTTGGAGCGGATTTGGTGCTGTATGTTGCCATGGGAAATCAATGGCCTGAAATTGACCTATCAAGATATCAAGATATCTATTTTTAGGCGACTTGATCCACTAAAATTACCAAAATGTCTGCTAAAAAGACCAAAATTCCCCAACCAAGTGCCAGCCCAAAGACTCCAAATAGTCGTCCAGCAAAGCAGCCACCACGCGACCATACCTGGGCAACTTGGAGAAGGTGGGGCTTCGGACTTCGGAGTGGCAACCTTGGCAGATGCATTTGAGTTTGAGAATATAAAACCATCTATATACAGTATATCCATCACTTAACCATCTATCATACTATCAGAGAAAAATCAGAAAAGGCGAACCAGTGATCATAGTGATCATAGTGATCATATCGTTCCAGGAGTTCAATTTCCCAGGGCAGATCCGACTCTGCCAAGACACACATCAAGCAGCGCTACTTCCTTGCTAGGCATTGAAAGCGAGGGGCAACCCAGGAATCGCCACTTGGAATCTCCACATTCCATTGGATCGATCTCCATTCGATCAGCACCAAGGAATTGTTACCGGAAATCATGGTTACTACCATCAAATAAGGAGTCTTCCGGTGTTTCTGGGATATTTCTGGGATTGTTTCGCAACCAGTTAGGCCAAGGGGTTATCACCTAGGATCCCGGGGATGCACATGCAACTAAGATGCGATTCCTGCAGCCAGGACAATGCAAAATTCCATCCCATGCAGGGGGAACATGGCTTTTCCATGGGGTTTCAGTTCTTTTCCATGGGGGATTGGTGAGCCAAGAACCACCCAAGTCCTGGGGTCAACCATGGAAAGATATGGAAAGCTAAGCAGCCGAGTGAAGTGCCAGGAGCATGGTTGCAGTGTTACTCCAAGGAAAGGCCTGTCACTGGCGTTCCCCAAACTGCAACGATTGTTCTGCTGGGATCCAAATCTGGAAAACTGCGAGTTGAGTTTTCCATGTTGGAAAAGCCTGTGCAACTACAATAGAATATGTTTTTCTGTGTAATTTTCTGTATATCTAAAAGTTCAACGAGTCAAAGATGGGCAGACACTCTGACTGGATCCATGGCACATGGCACATCTATACCACGCCTGGCTCCGAAAGGTCCGGCCCTTGGAGCTCAATTTCAATTCCAAAGCCGTGGCCTCACCTGCCCAGTGGGGATCAGTGGGGGCGGCACATGGTCCCATGGTTCTTCCGTTCATCGTGGCAAAGTTCCTCGGGAAATATCTCAGATACATACCAGTAGTACCGCACAAGGCGGTGGCGGAAGTTTCAAGAATAGGAAACCTATAGGAGAGATTGGTTGTTGTGAATCAGGGATGGCAGAGCGAATCCACTGATGGACCGAAAGGTGCTTGAGGTCTCCTCTCTTTCTCTCTCTTTCTCTGACTATCTACTTACCTACCAGCGTATCTTCTATGTATCTATCTATCTATTGATCTATCTATCTCTCTCTTTCTCTCTTTCTCTCTTTCATCTCATTGCCTATCTACCTATCTACCTATCTACCTATCT